TCAGCAGCAGTCACAAAAACACCGACCACTGAAACGGTCTGCAACTCAGACCTGACAACTCAGACCTGACAACTATGACAATCCAGATCCAGACTTTGCAGACCGACCACTGAAACGGTCTGCAAAATGACCGTACCATATACCAACAGCAAAAACAGTCCCAATACCCAAACCAATTTCGAAAATCTACAAAATACCAAACACGAGAATCAATTAAGAAATCAACTGTTCTATAGACTAAGCGACAAAACACAAAGCCAAAACATCTCGACAGCACCAACAACAGAGACGATACGAAGAATCTACTGCGTAGGAAGCTCTCAAGGAAAGGGTAAAAAAAACAAAGTTCGACCCTAAACCACTATAGACAGTCCCCGAAACTTAAGGTCATCGGGCAACTATAGTATCTCGTTCACTCATAAGAGTTCTTTACCAATCAGACAGAAACCATCGATTTCCTCATGAATGAACAGATCGTAGGAGACCAAAACAACAACCAAATTACGAGAAAAAAAAAAAAACCCACAAGGAGTAAGTGAACAGCAAACTGCCTTGCGACAAGATTAGGGCAAACGAGACTTGCTGAAGCCCTTGGACCTGCTGGAGTGTTGCCACCGCAACCGCACGCTCTCCCACTGCGTCCGGATATGCCACTCCACGCTCCATGCTTCTCTGGTGGTGAAGGCAATCCAACTGATGTGTCTTGAACTACAACGCCCGGCTTTTGGATGGTAAGAAAGGAGCCCCCCCTTCCAGCAGAAGGCTTGAGGGGAAGGCAGCTCCTCTGGTATCAAAGTCCTGTAAGATATGTATGTTGGTTTGGAGGTCTGAAGGTCTGATGAGGAGCTGCCAGGATGCCGCGGCGTACAAGTGCAAAGGCACTCCCTACCCACTCAAGGGCTAGGCTACGCCAGGGCACTGTCGCCATAGCTCTCACACAGCTATGGTGCCTGGCAGGGTAGGCGCCCCGTGGAAAAAGTTCAACGTCCACGTACCCCAACGTTGCAACCCACACAGCCGCTGACGGAGACCAGGCGCCGCCACCGCCGCTGTCGCCGCTACGTTAGCGCGCATTCGCGCGGCCCCCCCACCCTACAAAGATGATTATGGTTCGGTATTCCGGGTACTTTGCTCTTTTATCTGTACTGACTCTGTCTGTTTGCAGGGAGAGGTGCAATTCTTCTTGTCCGTGAGGCAGGGCTTGGATTAAAGGTGACTTTCTGATGCTCTCCTGCTCTCTTCATTTTTTATTTTTTTATTTTTTATTTTATTTTTTCCCCCCTCCTGCTCTCTTCAATGTATGCCCTGGGACAGTCAACATGGATTACTGAAGTCCGGAGTTTTCGTTAAATTATTTCTGTCTGGGTGTCTCTGTGCCGTTGTCAATATTTGTGTATGGGCGAGTGAGAGTGAAGCTGTGAGGATTGCGGAGAGAGAGGTCGGTGGGGTTTGAATTGCGTTGCTGAATGCCTCGTGTGATTTGTAAATTGCAGATGACTGCAAATGTCGTTCATTACACGACATTGATCGATGCGTGTTTGAGATGTAAATGGATCAAAAGAGCGTTCGATATTTTCTCACAGATGCGGACAGAGAACATCCAGCCAAATCAAATCACCTTCACCTTGATGCTCGAAGCGTAAGTATTGCAGTGTTTCGCCGAACTGCCTTTACTCTTTTCCCTACCCGACTCTACTTGCCCTCTCTTCCTCACTCTGCTACATGCTTGCTCTCGCCCTTTCCTTGTGTCATAGAGTGCACACCATATTAACAAACCACCAAGAAAAAAAAAAACAAAAAAAAACAGGGTGAAACGGTGAGGCAAAAGTGCACTTCAATGAAAATTTGCATTCAGAGAATTTTCAGAGTTTTCGGCATTTTTTGGAAATGGTCACCACAGACAATTCAAATGGAGAAAAACACTTCAGAACATTGGGAAATGGACACCAGACACAGTTCCAACCGTCTCCAAAAAAAAAGAATCACAAAAAACTTGAAAAAAGTGAAAATTTGGCCAAAAAAACCTGAATTCAGCAACGACCTCCTCTACGTTCACCCACCCTCGATCCTCCCTCCCTGTGGTAACTGCTTGCACTCACCCTTTCCATTCGGGTCATCCCTTGCTGGGCCTCGTTCCGCTGCCGTTGCGTCTCCGAGGTAGGCATATTTCGTCGTGCGGCATATGGTCTCATCCATTTTGCAGCAATTTTTGCCTCATGCCATTTCAGGGAATGCTGTCATTTGTATCTTCCAAGAACTTGAGCTAACATATAGTGAGGAAAAAATTTCCAAGCAATGCTACAAACCTTGTTGTCGACTCACTGTAACTCCTTGTGCAATCTGGAGTCTGCCCATTCTCTGCACGACTGTGGAGTAGAACGACATAGACGGAACCGCACTGTTTCAGAGGAGTATGAACGTGTGTACCTCTAAGAAGGCAGAGATGGAGGGAGGTGTAGGGAGGTGTAGGGACTGGTGGGTAATCTGGAGGTAAGTGGTGTGTTCTACATTTAGCAGAAGGCTTGTCCTTCGTCAATAAGTATGGGGTATAGCACACCTGATAGGCAATAGCTATGGGGTTAGGACAGCCAATAAATATGGGGATAGGGCAGTCAATAGCCAGGCTCTATGGGTGCAATGCAGCTCCTGTGTCACTTTCAGTAGGCTGGTAGTACACATGTTGCTGTTAAAAATCACGCTGAGCAAATTTTTGCTGGGTTGCTATCCCAAAACCATATTTGATGAATTTCTAAAAATAGAAAACGAGAAATTAACCTTTTCAAAAAAAAAAAAAAGGAAAAAAAAGGGAAAAAAAAAGAAGAAAAAAAGAAGAAAAAAAAAGAAAAGAAAAAAAAAGGAAAAAGAAAACGAGAAACGATACGAGATATAACTGGTGGCTATCTGCTACAATAGCATGTCTATGGATGTGTTACCACCCGTCTACTGATCGTAGCAACAGACTTCTACCATCTCACCTGTTTCCTCTTTCATTTCTTTTTTTTCCTTTTTTTTTTAGAACATCAGCGGAGATGGGCCTCTGTCAGACAGGGATAAGAGGCCTTGCCTGATGGAGGTTCATCCAGTTTGATATGGCTTCGATCTTCTCACGTGTACCCTCGTACTAACTGGTATAGAACGCATTTCTAGAAAGTTTGTTTGACTCTTCGGTGTGTTTCTGGCGGTGTCGGTGCAGTTGTGGATTTCTTGGCGATTTGGAGCAGGCCATGGAGATGGCGGACATGATGAGGTGCAGTGGGATTGAAATGGACCGCATTTCGTTCCAAACTCTTATGTCGCTTTGCGCCACACACGCTGATGTGGATGCCGCTCAGCACGTGCTTGACTGGATGACTGAATCTAATCTTCCACCGGATGAAGACATCCATACTTCAATGATTCTCACTTACTGCAATGCTGATCGTGTTGACGAGGCTCTTCAAATCCTCAGAAATGCTGTTGTCGAAAAACATTTTCGGCTATCAACGGAGGCATACGCTCATCTCATCAACAGGTAATCTAAATTGTAGCTGGCAATTTTTCACGCAACCACTCAATTCAGCAGTTCATTTAACCAATGGCTGAAACTCATTACAGACCTGTTGATGCATCTGTGCGGCCACTCACGCGCTCATCTGCCCGCATTTTCGTCTGTCAATCTTGTCAGCCTGCCTGCCTGCGGACACGTGTGGCCGCCTGCCAGTCTGCTTGCACGGCCAGTTGCTCACTCGTCCTTGAACGTTGGCGCCATGCAGGACGAATTCCTTTCGTGCCCGGCCTTTTTTTTGCTTTTTTGCTTGGTGTTTGTAGGCGAGTTAAGAAACACTGTTTTTTTTTTTGTTTTTTTTTGCTTTTTTGCTTGGCGTTAGTAGGCGAGTTAAAAACACGCATGCGAACATATAAGTCGTATTCTTGTATACACATACACAGCCCCCCCAGGCACACAAGAAAATGATGTCAGCTGTTCGCACTCTGTGTGGATCTTGTACTCTTTTTTGCATGTGTCATGTCAATCATCAGGTTCGGGAAACTTAAGCAGCCTGGTCGAGCTATGGAGGTCTTCAGGATGATACAGGAGAATGGCCTTTCACCAACCACTCAGATCTACAAAGCCACAATCAGTAGTTTCCATGACGCAAAGTGAGTGTTCTCCTCTCTCCCCTGACATTCCCAGCTACATCATTCACGGGTCAACGTCAAAGACGGTTCGTTCTCCCTACTCCCTACTCCCTCCCATCTGCCATGCATATATATCGACTTCTGATACATGCTCAATCGAGCGATGTATATGGAGCCAAGGATCCGCAAAGTGATGAAAAGGACTCGAATGGACAATACAGTGTCAGCAAAGCATGAACAAGCAATGTACATCCAGATACATACGAAAATGGCACAATGTAGCGCAACGGAAGACTCAAGATATGACCTGACCTGTCAGATACTGACGCGAAACCCCATCACACACTACACATGTGAGAGAGAGGGGAGGGACCGCATACACAGACGAAAGGTCCCTCCTTGATCACGCACATGGGGAGATAGCACGGATGAGGAGATGGGGGAGGAGGCGAGACAAAGATGGAGATGAAGGAGAGGACCAAGATCGTGATAGCGAAGTCCAAAAATAGTCTCCCTGCCGAATGTCCAATCAATGTCTGCCACAAAATGTCGAATCAGATCCTGGGCCTCACGGCCCGATGTAACCTCTCTCTCTCTCTCTCTCTCTCTCTCTCTCTCTCTCTCTCTCTCT